CCCCTAAACACCTATACCCCTAAACCTCTAAACCCCTAAACCCCTAAACACCTAAACCCCTAAACACCTATACCCCTAAACCTCTAAACCCCTAAACCCCTAAACACCTAAACCCCTAGACCCCTAAACCCTAAACCGTCTAGACAACGAAGTGTTACACGACTCCCAAGAGGAAGCCTTGCACTTGTTTGAAACACTGGCAGAAAGTGTTGAGTGGCATAAATTTCGCAGGTTTGGAGGGTCGGTATTCTGTAGTAACAGGTATGGAAGGTTATGGAGAAACAATGGGACCTCAATATCATAAAGCTTGGCTCGTGTAGCTGCAAAGAGGATCAAACGGATGTAAAATTATGTAGTCAGATAACTAGTGTACAGTAAGATATCGAAAGATGCAATATACGTGCACACATGCATAGATAGATAGATAGATAGATAGATAGATAGATAGATAGTTGGTTAGATAGGTAGATAGGTAGAGAGGTAGAGAGGTAGATAGGTAGATAGGTAGATAGACTACAGACAGATAGACAGATAGACAGATAAATAGATGGATAGATCGGCAGATACACAGACAGGCATGTACAATCTATGCATAGACAGATAGATAGAGGAGGGATGCTGTCCGGCAGATGCGGCAAGCATGAGTAGAGCGAACGACATGGACATGCCGCTCAGCCCTCAACCGAGAGGAAATGGTGTGACAGCGAGAAGTACTTCTGGGTTGTTGCCTCAGGCTTCATCGCATGTCCGAGGTGTTTCCCCTTGCTCCAGAGCTGAGGATGATCTGCTTTTAGACCGAGAGGTTTAAGCATGAGGGGAAATTCCGTGGCCTTTGACCCTTCGTGTCTCTGGTTGCGAATCTTCCGAGTCGGAGAGCTCCATGCTCGGCAAGTGGCCCAGGTGCAGGGCGAGTCCATTGCCACAGCTTCCTTGCTTTATCAAGCCCACCGCTGAGACAGGTGCTAGGGGGCAGGAGCTGCGGCTTTTGCTGGTTTCTTGTGCTAAGGCGACGAAGGACCCGAAATACATCGAGAAGTATGTCTGCCTTTGGCAGTACTGCTGGACGCACTGGGTGGATCACGAGCACGGCGGTCACCCTTCTGCTTTCAGAATCTGCTTTTGGGTTGATCTTGATTGAACTGTTGAAGCAATGTCAGTTCAGGTTGGCTATGCTTCAAGATGTCCCGCAGCAATGAGCGGACGAACGACGAGAAGGCCAACCAACAGCTTCGCCCCCCCCCCCCCCAAAGGGGAGTCGAAGCCAAAAAACAAGACCTGTAGCTACAGGCGATCGCTGGGGGGAAGTGTGACTACCACACGCTGGTCTCCTGTCACTTGGCCTGCATTGACCAGGCCAGGTCAGGCGACAGTGCGGTCCAGTTCAGCGGAAGGTGTGGAGGCTCTGCGCCCCTTCCAGTGAGCCCTTGTGCACGGATCCACTGCTGCTGAGCCATCTTCCCGAAAGTTGGATGCAAGGAGGAGAGAGGTGTGAATATGTTTGTGCCTGCTACGGCGGATGGCTCACTGCAATCGATTCAGTAGCTAGGTGGCAGTCTGCGAGTTGCGCCAAGAAGCCGACAAAAAGCGTGGCAGACTTCCAGCAGCAAAACAGGTGAAGCAAGAGGTATGGTAAAGGCGCCTAATATCAAGATCGGGATCCACACCCGAAGTTTCAAGAGTTGACAGGCCCGCATATCAGTCCCAAGGCCCAATCCTTTCAAACCCGGCTTATGACAGAATCGGTGTTCCATTGTTCCGACCAGTCTGATCAATTGAGCGATTCATTGGAATGGCAATAGACTCTATAGCGACCCGAGCCCAGGTACACCTGAGCTTATTGCGTTGTCCTGCCCCGGCTTCGCCAGTAACAGTGGGCTTTCTTTGACAGGACGGAGGCTCAAGAGCCGATGGAGACCGTCATCTTGGAGAAGACGATCATCAAGCGGGGGGCTCGAAGTTCGTTGCCACATTGGGTAGTTCTCCAAATTGGGGTCCTTTTTTAGGTTCCAAAAATAGTACGGCGCCCTTATAGAAAGGACACTATCACTAAACGGGCCCTACTTTACAGAACTACCCACATGCTAAACTCCTAGGGAAGTCCACGTTCAGTACCCTTCTGGTCTGCGAAGCAGAGGCTGGGCTCGCTCCTGGCGCTGGGATTTGGCGAGGCCGGCGGCCCGCTAAAGCACGACCACAGGCGAGGAGCGTTTCGTTCACGGCTGTTCCTCGGCAGGCTGGTGCGAACATCGTCAGCTCCAACATGGACGGTGCCAATTCCGGGGTGAATGCCATGGTGGAAGGTGCACAGAAGTGCTGCCTGCATCAGTGAAGCACCTGATCATCTGTGCTCTGTCAGGCTCTATGGTGAACTGCATTGCCGGGAGCCCGGAGAGCAAACTCGGAATGGAGCATCGGTGGTGCCGTGTTCTTTGCAGCTGACCGGATCCACTGCAAACAGGTGGGAGTCGTGCGGATTCTCAACTTCAGCACAGCGACAGAAGTGCTGCAGGGTAAGGCCAGTTTATCTGTGCTAATCCAGTTGCATCGTGGCGGACCTCGAAAGACGAGCACAGAGCGAGTTCTTCTTGTGTTCGTGGTATTCAAGCCTCACAGGCTCTTGCTTGCCTCCCTTCCCCTCTGATGTGTCAAGACGAAGCAAGTTGGTGTCCATTCCTCGAGCATGCCAGGTCATGACCTTCGTGAACCAGATAGCAGAGATTGTCCACGGCGTCGTTGACGAGTGCTGGGGCGCCGTCAACAAGAACGACGGTGGGCGCTTCAATCCAGAGTTTCAGTGCTCAGAGACATAGCCGCTCAAAGTCTTGAGCTGAGGGCTGAGGGGTCGTCAAGCAGTCTCAGGCTTCAGGTTTCTGGGCGAGTCGAGTTTCGATTGTGTTCAAGAGCATGGACGAGAGATGTTGAATAAGACCTCGCTCGCTTCAAGTTCGGGCAGGTTCGGTTGGAAATCGTGGCATGGATTTCCGCCTATCCTCGTTCAGCCGAGACAGTTAAGTTCGACTGCGTAATGTTCCTTGTATGGCCAGACAGGAATTCGATGTGCAATCGTTTGTATCTAGATGGCCCCCCTCCATAACCATCGCCACCAGAGTCATCTTCGTCTTGATTTTCTTCGTCGTAGTCTTGGACCATCTAGTATCATGGCCAACACCATCATCGGCTTCGTCATCATCTTCGTCGCAGTCATCGTCAGCATCGTTGTCTCCCGTTTATCAACATCCTCAGAAACAAGACTGAAACACTTAAGCTCCTTTGAGACAGCGGGCCGTGGCCTGCAGGTGACAATTTCTTGGTCATTTGGAGACTGGGGGACTTGTCTGCCAATGAGGTCCACCTCCGGCCACCTGCATCAGCATAGGGGCCTGGGTCGTGAAGCATGACTGGTCAGGCTCAGGGCCACCCGAAGACTCGAGCACTTCGCACCTCCCTCTTTCTCTTGAAGCTAGCCTGATATCATTCGCATTGAGTATCCCCCTGGTAGCAGCCACGGAAGCCAACTGCCAAGTCCCACTTACTTGGCCCTTCACCAAAGAAGCAAAAGACCCTAACGCCAAGCAACCTCATTGCCGGCCCCGCAGCCATTCAAACCAAAAGGTGCTCCCCTAAACTGGGGCGATATGAACATCGGACGATGGCATATTGCGCGATGCATGACAGACAGAGGGCACAGTGCTCTTTAGACAGTCTCTGTTTTTGCGTGCAGCAGTGGGGTAGCCTTGCGGAAACGGAAGACTAGTTGCATTGGGGCACCTGCCTGAACAAATTCGCAAATGGCATTCGGAGATGTGCGTAGTATTTAGAGCATGATGCAGGCGCCAACATATTTCCATGCCTGTACCCGAGCATGACATAAGACGAGGACTCCAGCCAAGCATCCAACTCCCAGCGCTGAAGCGAACCATGCCGCGACGGCAGACGAAGTGAGCGACAAAGTGCCCCACTGACAAGGGTAATGAAGCTCCTGGCGGAGTCTGCAAGAGCGAGATGTGGTTTTTGGAATCTGATCCAGGTATCCAATGCACCTTCAGTCACGCGACGCGAACCGGCACAGTCCTCGGCTTCTTGAACGAGCAAGGTCGGTTCAGAGCTCATCGCTTTAACATAATCTCCAGTTGAGGGAATGCGCTTAGAATTAGCAGCCCAAAACAACAACAGCAACAGCAATAGCAGCAGCAACAACAACAGCGACTACCACGACCACAACCACAACCACAACACTTCGACGATGACGACGACTACTACTACTACTACTACTACAACGACTACTGCTCCGACTGCTACTCCGGCTGGACTGCCAATGCTACTGCCGATGATGCTTCTATTGCTACTGCGACGACGAAGATGACGAGTGCTACGATCTCAGCGCAGCACGACAAGGAAAACGACCTTTCCAACTCTGGTTTATAGGTTCTGATAGGTGTAGCTTGCGAATACCGCCTAGTACGGCCCCAGACGGGTACACTGCACTCTTGTCCTCATTGGTCGTCGTCGTAGTAGTTGGCGTCGTAGTAGTAGGAGTAGCAGCAAGAAAAGTAATTACACCAGAAGAAGACGAACCAGAGTCGAAGCAAAACTGACAACATAGAAGTAGCATTAGCAGCATTCGTACTACTGGTAATGCCACCAAGGCTTCGGATACATTTCATTTTCGTGTTTTCAGTAGTGGTACATTTTCAATATTAGCAGAACAGAGTGACATGAATATTTGGAGCTAAAAGGTTGGTTGTGGTACAGCAATGACTGTTTGGAGCTGAAAAGCTATAGTATTGGCAGAGGCTCGCAGAACACAACATCTGAAGTCGTTATTTCCCGTTCTGTCATGCACGTCCTTTCACACCCCGAGCGAAACATATCCAGTTTCAAGCAACGAGACACCAAGAACGTCGTGGGGGTTTGGGTCCACTCTCATGTTTCTTTCCAAGCCACCACACAGCGTTTCATTTCGATTGCCAAGACACAAAGCCTCAACTCTGAGATTTCTATCACTACAATTAGACTACAATCATAGCGGCTTTTCAGCACCAAGGCCAACTGGTCAGTTGAAAGTTTATATTTCATACATGTGTCTGGCTGAAACTTGCGCTCGTGCACAGAGTTTCTCCATTCTGTGATTGTCATCCCCGCGATCACGGCTGGCTTGCTGGCTTCTCAGCACCAGGCTCTATTTGCGGTTAAACGTCTTCATAAAACCATTCCGAGACTCAAGTTTCTGCGATTTCCTGAACAATGTCCACTTGTCGGGACCTGCCCCCGACGTTCCAAACCTCTGTCTTGGTTGATGTCTGAGATTCCCAACCTTTTCAGCGGAAAGGCCAACTCCTCAGTACCAAGACACACATTTCTACATGTCTTGGCCTGAAAACCTGGTTTTGCTCCAGCCCTGTCTTCGTTTTTCAGCTTGCTGCTGTTATAACAGGGCTGGAGGCAATCTCACCTCCAGCCCTCTTTTCAACGCCAAAAGCAAGCCAATGCAAGACAAAAGGAAAACAGGGCTGGAGCCACGCCAATTTTCAGGCAACAAGAAATAATTATACGTATTTCTGCCTGACATTTGGCCTTGGCACTGAAAATTTGGCCTTGACGAGGGCCGCAGCGAAACGAACTTTTCATGCAACAGCGTTCATAAATATGTCTTTCCTGAAAGTTTGGGTTTGGCACGCGAGATTGAGCCTGACGCCGCGATTAAACACACATGCTAAACCCCTGGGTCTAACCGGTTCTCATCATCAACAGTCGTCACCAACCGAAAATCTTCTTATATATCTAACAAAAGAAAGTCATCATTCATCATTCTGGGAGAAAGGTGCGAACGACCCCTCAGACAAGTCGCCTTGATTCTGCTGATATGGCCGTTCAGCAGTTCCTTGTGCGAATTACATCGACTGGAATGACTAGAACAGCAGCAATCATACTACTAGCAAACTCAATGGCGACAACAGGTACAAGACCGCGAAGGCGTCCAAACGGGAACAGCAACGGTGAGATCACAAAAGAGTCTAAATGACAAGAAGAAGAATTAAGATTGTGGTCTCGACAGGGCAGAAGAATTGGTCTCTCTGAGGGTCTGTAGAATTCGGTGTTGTTTCTTGCGGAGGGAATGTCCCTGAAAGTCGAGCCTCTCCGCGAACACTTACCTTTCAGGTGCCGGTGTTCTGACAATGTGGAGGCTTCACCCCTATCGGCTTTCTACGGGAGGAACAGGGTGTAGGGTTTAGTGGTCGTGCTGTCAATCTAGGATCACTGTACGCAGGGTTGCAGGCCATCGTAGAACAGAACATGGTGGTACTGCACAGAAGAGGAGGAGTTCTTAAGCAGCTGATTTAATTTCGCGCTGAATGCACAATGTCACAAGTGATCTACGAGCGGTTTAGGTTTAGGTGGAGACCACTCCAAGTAAGGACTCTGCGCGACCTCTGCTTTCTTCTTGCCTGATGATGCCAGTGCTTTCGCTTCCTCGTTCCAAAGGGCATGCCTCAAACGACCTGTCCGGAGTCGCGGCTTCTGTTGATCTTCAAGCTGAGATCCAACCCACTATTTGACAGTGATGGTCCGGTGTGTAAGCTTTGTTCGAGAGTGTGTATTGGATGGTTGCCTCTGTTGAGTATTCTCGCTGAGTACGAGTCCGTCTGCATACTGCTAGTAAAGGCGCTGACGAAATTACAAATCTCCAGCAATATGCTAGAGTGACGAGTAGTTACTCGTGAGTAGTACTTAAACTGCCACTGGTAGTATTGTGCTACCTCGTACCAGTAGTCAGCGAGCAATCGGGTTAGCAATGCTTGTGGTAGCCTTAGTCGTAATCATCAGCAGTCATGGTCACAGCAACAATAGTAGTAGCCAAATTTCTGAGTGACTGAGTAACTTAAGGTCATCGTCCGAGAACTCTGCGTGAAGATGAGCGACCCCCTGGAAATAGCAACGAGCAGAAGTGCTTTAGCCAAGGCATAGTGCCACAGTTCTCCATAATCACGACGCTTGAGCCCCCAAACTTTCCGAAGCCTCTGGCCAGGCTATGGATCCCGCACTGCACTCAATGTTGGTCCTGTTTGGTCTTGCATCACACGTAGGTGGAGGCACAGTCACCTTCCAAAAGAGGCTTTGTGCTTTGAGAAAAGTGACTTTCTGTGGTGTTCCAGCCGTTGGCTTCGAGGGTCTGCAGAGTCATGAGATGAACCACATCTCCCACCATGAACAGATGACTTCGTAAGCCAAGACGAAAGTAGCCTTCAAAGCCTGGGAACCCCAGCCTCCAAAGCCGGGGTTCTTCGACACCCCAGCCTGTAACACACGCTTACACTTACGGGCGAGCGGTGCAAGGACCCAAGGACGGCAGCATCACAACGCGACAAACCTGCTGAGCCAAAGGGTGGTGCTCTAACGTTTCAAGGTTCGGAAGGTGATGCTATTAATGCTATTCTTCACCAGGCATCAGTTCTTCAGGCGGACAGAAAACCGGTACCAGAGAGAATGCCGGCCGGCCATGATGGGCCATCGTTGCAGATCAGGCTGGGTCAGACAACGGGGGTCGTATTTTTGCAAAGTCGGGCACATGTCACTCTCTACTCCCAGGTACGGTAGCTGGTCCTTTCTCCGTCCTGGCAACTCCACCCGTACCCGTAGCTTAGACCCTGAGCTCACTGGCCCGTACAATGTCCTAGGCCCTCTTTGCTCGATGAGTGTTGTTCGTCCTGCCGGAGTATCTATCAAAAGCTTGAGGTTACTTTTACAATACTAATAGCAATAGTATTATGATTGCTAACATTATTATTATTATTACTACTATTATTATCATTATGACTATTAGATTTGATTCTCAGAGGCTGTTTGCAACGGCCGGTGCTTTCCTTGCTGCATCCGAGCCCCGGAAGCTCACCGCCTGAAGCTGAACCCTGAGCTGAATGAAGCGGAGTTCAGTTGAACTTGATGTCCACCACCAAAGCCAGCCCCCGAAATCATCAGTCCTGCACATTTCCACACCTGGCCAGTGAATGAAGCCAGGGTTTTTTCTGTGCAACGAACCAACGATTACCTGCATTCTTCGCAGCGGCCGCAATGTATATGATGAGGAGTCAACCTCAACAGGATCCTAGTGTTCGCTTGTAGTCCGTGAATAGCAAGCACAAGCCTGTACCCAAGCCTTGAATCCGCATCCCAGAGATCTGCCCTGCCACTCAGGCGCCCGAGCGTGGCCTTGGTAGTGCTGACGGCCTTGACCTTCCCCTTGGCAGGGGACCCAAGAGAAGAGCTTTCCGGGTCGCGAGTGTATACCCTTCCGCGGAAGTCCCAGCCTTCCCAGAGGCTTCAAGATTCTCGCTGTTGCGAGTCTTGCTAAGTTGATGTCTCCGGGCCAGGGATCCGTGCTGATCTGTGGAAGCTGACTGAGAGGAATTTCGGAGCCTGCTGCCTGGTTTGGAACGCCTTCCTCGTTCTTCCTGCTCTTCTTCTTCTTGTTCCTGTGCTTCTTCGTTGTAGACTGCGAGACGGCCTTGCATGCTTCCGCCTCCCACCCGAAAGCCCCCCTTGCGCCCGGTCGAGTCCAGGCCGCAGGGGGAACACCGGAGGAAGGCGGCTTGATCGACCGCGTGGAGTTGGCCTTGGTCTCAGGGGCCAAGGGAGGGGCGGGAGGAGGCTGGACGGGGCTCAGTTCAGGGCAGTGCAGGGTTGGGCGAACGTTATCGTAACGGCTTTGTGCTTGAATCCTCATGCACGTCCCCAGAAGGCAAATGAATCCAACAAGAGGGACCGTCCCAAGCTTCAAGGTTTGGCCCATGGTGCTCATGCACCTTCCACTGCCTGTGGACAAAGGGGAGACTCAGGAAGATGCCCGGCACTGAGGACAACTGAGAAGCTGCCTAGGCCTAAACCCGTAAATCCTGAACCCTTGCCCCACAGCCTCGAAACACCAAAAACCCTTGAAGCCAGAAATGCAGGCGTCTAGCTGAGCTTGGGTTGCTGGGCTCAGCGTTGCAGGGTCTTGGCGTTTTCGCAGGTGTAAGGGCCCACTTTTTCGGTTTGGAGCTCACAGTAGTATCCGGATAAAAGTGGCTTCTGCGGGTTTCGGGGGCAGCCCGGGCCTTGTCAGCCTTGCTACAAAGGTGGATGCTCTGCTTCGTGAGCTTGCCGACATCGGTGAGAAGGGCTTTCTCACATACCTCGAGAAGGCCTACTTGCCCAACTTAGTCTTGTCTTTTCCGGTGCTGATTGGAATGAGGCATGTTCAGAATAAATTTCCAGCAATCCCTGCATGTTGCAGTACTGCCATTCCAGTATCATGATGACGACTCTGATGGCGATGATGAGAGGAGCCGAGGAGAGGAGGAGCGGAGGAGAGGAGGAGAGGAGGAAAGGAGGCGGAGGATGCAAAGGAAGAGGAGGAACAATCGTCAAAGTGCATCTGCTTCATTCTGTGGGATTTCTCCTTGTATCTGGCCATGTTTACGCACATCCTTTGTGTCCTGACCTTGCTTTGGGCCTTGCCTACTACCGGGCGTTCATTGGCTTCGGGAGGTCCTTCCGCATGAGCTCGAAGTGGACGAAGAGTTTGCCGAGGAATTCAGAGGCGCAGACGTGGCGCAGCTGCAACGGAGCTGAAGCGTAAACCATCTTGAGGAGTTTAGCGTCAACCCCCAACCCGAAAAGCTGCCAAACTTGAGGAGAGCCGATGGAACGACGGTTTCTTCAGGCCAGTGGGGTCATAAGGAGCTCCCGGATTCCCTGCCTGGATTCGCTGGCCGTCAGGTGGCAGAAGCGAGTGTACTCCAGGCTTTCGAAGATTCGACCCTCATCTGAATCAGTCGATACAGACTGCCAAGAGGCTGTTGTGGAGGCGAGGCAAGTCTAAAGAGGGTGAAAATGCGCGAAACCAGGAGTCGAGGAGATTCTTTGGGATGGAAAACCCGTCCCAGCTCTCCCGGGTGTGTCTTGCCTGCGATATGCACCGTCGCTGAAAGTCTCCCTTGCAAAAAGTCAGCTCCAAGCTGCCAGGTTAGCTATCGATGGGCATCTCGGCTGCTTGCTTTGGTGCCGTGAAATTTGCTGCAAAACCCGGAAGCTGCACAGCCAAAGAGGACGAACTCCACAAGTTTCAGGGGATGAAGAGGCCCGCCGGGCGCCTCGTTGCGACCGCAGCAGAAGTCTCGTCTCGTCGGCATGTTCTTGTGCAGGGTCATGAAGAAGATCTTCGGGCAAGTGGCGGCTTGATCTGGTTGGATAGAACGTTATTGCTCCATCTAGTGCTCTGGTCTTGCACAGGCTGCTTACAAGCACGCTTCGGACGCAACGCTGGAGTCGAGCGACAGCAGGCTCCAGCCCTGTTGCAATGTCTCTCACATCTCTCTGCCAGCATTCACCAGATGCCAGGAAAGGACGATTCATTCCCTGGGTCTCGCGCTTACAGTAGCTTCAGATTTCTGAATCGTGGCCAATTCGGTCGCTGGGACTCAGACAATCAGACCTCGCGCAGCTCGCTCACAGGAAGTTTAGCCCCGTTAAAGCCTTGGTGCCTCAGCCACTCGACTATGAGGCAGACATGAAGGAAAGCACCTGGATCTACTCCTACAGTCCGTTATAACTTTTTGGGATTATGAGCATGTATGCTGGGTAGCAGCCCCTGGACTCGAGCCTCCAACCGGAGCCCCAAGCTCCGGTCTTGGGAGCGAGTAGCTCCCGGATTGTACACACGCCAGTACAGAGGTTTCTATAGAAGCATCTGAGTACCGTGGAGAGGTATACCATAATGTACAAATCTTGTGCCCTAATAGACCAGACCGAGCATACATACTATAATGTATATAGTAGCAGAGTCAGAGGATCCTCTCTGGACCCGAGTCTGGGCTTGAGCTCCCAGGTCGAAGTGTACCGGCCGCGCGACTTCCACCATCCGCACACCCACACCGGGTCGCCCATCGTGGGCACCCTGGTGCTGAGGCCCAACATTCCGAATCTTATTGAGTCGCGAAAAACATCGAACGCAGGTGCGGGAAGCAGAAGCAGCGGCTGGTCTTCGAGGATCCGCGGGGCATCAACCCTCCCTTCGGGCGGAAGTACCATGTCGCTGCTCTTCCGCAAACTGTTTGAGAGGGGGGGGGGGGGTCAAAAGCTCAGATGCAGCGTGATGCTCCAAGCTGTGCTTTTCATGCTTTTCTGCGGTTCTTCACTACGATCACGGTGTGCGCGAGATTGTCCAGCACCGAACTGTTATCCGAATTCTCCCCTGCAAAGCCGCACACGGAACACATGAGCATCAAGGATGTGCGAGAAGGTGATCTGCGGCTTGTCTGCACAGAATGAGGCCGTATTGTCTCGTGACGGGGGTCGGCCGGTCGTCCGCCTGAAGCCGAGGCTTCTCTTTCCTTCATGGGCTTCGCATTTCGTTGACCCTAACAGGGGAAACGAGACGCACGTTTTCCTGAGCTTCGCAATTCAGGATCCTTGCCTGCAGAGCTCCGCACTGAAAGGGCCTGTAAGGTCACAGTATGACACTGACCAAGGGACACGGAGGGCCTCAAGAATTTGACTGGGAGGACGACGGCACAGGTACATCTCCCCTCACGCACTGGAGAGGGGTAATGAAGTGTCAGTGTTGTCGACGGAAGCAACACGAGAGGTGCCGTCGTGAAGAAAATGGACAAGAGAATTCGAGCGGCTCTGCAAGCGCTGGTCGCTGTTATCCCTGTGATCCCTGTGATATACTGTGATCAGCAAGCTGCGTGCTAAGGCGAAGGCGAAGAAGGGGACCGCCGCACCACCCAGAAAGGAGCGAAGTGAGCTGTAGAGCCCGCAGCGCCCCGTCAGTTTCTGAAGACCTCTGGGGTACCAGAACTTGGAGGCCCAGTGGTAGTCGGCTTCCCCGAATGATAGGTGTCGGGTGTCGGGTGCTGACCCGCCCGGACCCCGTCGGTTTCCAAGTTCCACTGCTTCAGAGCGGAGCAGGTTTCTGACGCCGCTTGCCAAAAGAGAAGCTGCTCCACTTAGGGTTTAGAGTTTAGGGTTCCCAGTTCCCAGACCCCTACTTTGGCACTGGCTTTTAAAGTCCTCCCGGAACCTTCCGACCCTTAGCCCTACCTTCCCTTTCTCTTATCTACAAGCTCACAGATTAGCTGTAGACCGCCAATTTTGGAGTAAACTAGTGAGGCTGCCAACGTGAAAGACACCCCTCACAGCTAGCTCCTTTTCAATCTACTCACAGACTGTACACTAGGAGTTACTGCGAGTGAGTTGCATAGGGCCGCCCAAAAACAAAGTTCCCAGACCCAGATCCGGCTCCTAAGGCTGTGGTTTCTGCAAGGAGTCCGCTGCAACGTGCTGGTGACCTAGCGAGCTGCAACATGACTGGGCATGACTGGGTGCTAAGATCGGGGGCCCAGATTTGGAAGGCCCGTAGAATTGTATCCTTTGAAGTTGCAGCCGCCAGCCAAGTCTTTTGTCTGAAAAGGGTGTATTGCAACTTGCAGAGAGAGTGAGTGGGCCCAGTGGGGCTCTGGGCTCTTCAGGCTCGACTGCGACATGGAGCTGCTTTTGACGCTGCAGCGGCAGGTGGCGTCTGGCTTCGTGGTGTGGGGTGTTTGAAGCTGCGTGCATGCGGTGGACACGTCCCTTACCGGTCTCCGCAGACTTTCGAACGGTCTCTTCTTGAGTGGCTCGGAGGAAGCGCCCAATCATTTCTGAGCCATTTCTGGCAACAATCGAGGTGGAGCCTGCTGTCTCAGAGATAGCGGAGATCCACTTCAACTTTACCAGCGGCAGACAGCAGGAGGCCAGCGAGCGGATGCAAACGGTGTTGAGAGCTCTCGCTTGCCATACTTGGCAAAAGGTTATCGAGCGCATGTCGGTCTTCCAGGTGAACCAATTGTGCCTTGAACTCGGTGCTCCATGCAATCCCTGAAACCCTATCAATCGGCATAACCCAAGAAGTGCTCGTGCTCCCCTGGGTTTTCGGCTCGGCAAACACGAGTCCACAGGGTGTGAGTGTCACAGGATTTCGAGAAATGGCAAGGGCAGAGTCATGGAGTAAAGCAGGTTGGCAATCGCAAGACACGAGACTGCAGCAGACTGCCATCACTATCAAATGCTACGAGAACCATGTACGAAGTACAGGATGTTCTCAGGCCCCTTCATGCAATATCCATCTCAGCTTTGAGCTGTCAGCCGAGGCAAAAGTGCAATTAGTGTGCTGGAGCCAGTGCCTCAGAGCCTGGAGGCTTTCCTGTACAGTTCCCCCACTCTTCAACTCGTAAGGTCCCTGCGGCTGACAATGGGCTCCCTTGTGTGTCCCGCTCGTGGGAAGCTTAGAGGGGGTGCCACAGAGCAGGGAGCCAAGAGAGCGCAGGAGTCCCTTCGATGGGTCTTCTTGCTTCATCGGAGGGCTTGGATCCGGAGGCTGCAGGCGAGGTGCACTGGTTTCTGCGCTGAGAGCTCAGATTTTGATGATGGCTCCGGACAAAGAAGCTCCTCGGAGTTGCCAGAGTCTTGCCGGCATGTTGCTTCCATTCCCAGCAACCGTTTCGGACATCTGCCAGGGAAATTTTTCGCAGGAAAGGGCTGGCTTGCTGGGACACTGCATCCAGTTCACCCCAATCCTTGGGCCTTAAGCCTCCACATGGTGCGACGGTGATGCAGTACCGGGGCTTCTCAAGCAGGTCTCCTTGGGACTTCGGCCAGGCATCTCAAACCATCGAAGTTCGTCCAACAATTCTTCTCCGATGTCCGGCAGCTGGCAAGGCACCTTCTGCCTTTCTACTACTTTCTATGATTGTACACGCTTAAGGGCCTGTCGGCTATGACGGAGGGGCTTAGTTTGAGGGTTGGCAGACCTTCCACAGGGACTTGTCTACATAAAGTGCAAGGACACCAGCAGGTATTTGCGCAGCAACAAGCATCCTATGTCGCTCGGAGGCAAGGCCGGGACGAGCATATTGGTATGGATCGGATAGAGCATGGGGGAGACTTCGTCCCAGCTTTCGTCTCAAGGCAACACGAGTAATCGGCTTTGGCCTGCTAGGAGTGGTACTACTGAGATCTACACCCCCGAGGTGGTGGCGCAGGCCGTGTCCTTAAGCAGAAGAGCAACGAGACTCGGGTCGGACAGGGAAGTGGGTTGTAGAGTCTATGGCGGTGCAGAGCAGGGTTTCTCAACGGTTGAAGAGGGGTTGAAGACTGTAGTATGCCCAGTACGTGATGAAGGCAGCCCCCCCTGCCTTGTCCTTAGCCTTCGAGTGCCAAGCCCCAAAGGGAGGCGGCCTGAATCCCCTAAGAAAAGGTTGAAAAGGCTTCTCAAGCCTTTATGGTGCGGTTCGTTTGAAGCTCTGATGAGATCCCTTAAAGCCCAGCTCTCCGAGATCGAAGCTTCTTGGCACAGCTCGGCATTGGAGTTCCTGAACTTGGCGCAGCGCTGGGGCCTTGCTGGGCTGCTTTTTTTGGCATTTTGGGGTTTGGGGCTGTCGGATTTTGGGGGGCAGGAAGTCTGGGATCTACCTGGTGCCTAAGGAATTGCCGGGGGTCAAGGGAGAGATAGATGTGTGTCGGCTGCGGGATTCAGGGTTTAGTGCAGAGATGTGCAGAGGTTCTGGATGGCAGGTCAGGGGTTGAAGTTCTGCGATGGTGGGCCGCAGGGTCCGGCAGCAGATTATGCACCAAATCCTGAGCCTTCGCACCTGAGCGTAAAGAAGTGCGGAGTGCTGGGAGGCCTGGAAGCCTGGGTGGTGGAGTCCAGACGGAGTGGCGGACGCATGCAGGCAGAGATGCGAGCGTGTTCGGGCGATTGAGTTCCGAAGAAGACTCACCACCCTAGACCCTGAATTTCAGAATCTCCTAAACCCTAAATCCCTAAGTCCCTAAATCCCCTAAATCCCCTAAACATTGAAACTCTCCTGGTCTCCATTCCCAAGCAAGGCCTCTACCTTCACCTCGGTCGAGACCCTTGTCCGGTCCCCTGAAGCCATGGCTCCGAGCTTAGAAGGACGCTGTAAGAAAGAAGCGAGGTTGAGCGTTTCATGAACATGGCCCTCGACTTCGTGCGATCTTTGGCAGAGGAGCCCGGAGACAGAGATTGGTAAACAGATGCTTGTGCGGATACGACAAGAGGCTGCAACCGTCACCTCCGCCGCTGCTGCCGCCGGTGCTGCTCCTCCTCTCCTGCGGCTGCTGCTGTAGATGCTTCCAGTGACACTCAATCCGCCACCACCGCCGCAATTTCCAGCGCCATCCTTTTGTTCGGTATCTTCATGTGTTGTGGCATCGTCGCGAGGACATGGGCCTCATGTTCCGGGCACCCAACTATGTTCCACGCGAGCTTACACCTGCAGGCGCGGGTTTAGCTGTAAGCAGTCTCATGCTGATAGTTTGCAGAATTCCTGAATGAAACCACACTATGACAGAATGCGATCGTGTTGTATGTGTCAGTTTCAGGAGCTTCCGACACCGACGAGCACCTGGCGGAGAACTCGCTCTGGACTGCCGCAGGCTCAGTTACTTCGTTCTCGGGTACACCATCGCAGCGCTAAGCAACTTTCCAGCGCTCGCCCAGCTGTAGTTGCAGTTCTCGAATCCCTGCAAGATTCTCCATCCTTTTGTAGCCGATTGTGAGGATGCATACCTAACTTTTGAGAGCTCTGAGCACATAGGTTCCATTCGAGGGCAGAGGACGAGGTTGTCTTTTGAGCCCAGGTCGACGTTTTCAGGGACTCTGTCGATGGACTGGCCCTGAAGCCCGAGTTCCTGAACATGCCGCCGGACTTGCAAGTCCAGAGGCTTTCGTTGGGTTTCGGGTTTGGGATGTCAAAGATTCGGCTGCCTAGAGAAAGGAAAAGCTGGCTCGCTGAGTCCATACTCCCCACTCAAGATCTGCATGTCTAGGTTGGGCTTCTTTCAGATACCTTTGGTCGAAGTGAGGCTGCTCCAGATGCCAGCTCCCCTCGCCCATGCGTGCTCGCCCTGGCATCTCTGACCGATTTCGTCGCCTCATCTTCGGTTCCTTGAGCCTCAGGCCCTTACATCCCGACTTCAAAGTCTGCGAGTCCCTTCCTGAAGTCACCTCGGCCATCGCCCGAGTGTTCTTCCTCTTGATGTGCGGCCGCCAAGTCTATGCAAGACGCCAGAGGTCCCACTTGGAACATCCACTGAGTTTCTGGATGAAGTCGGAGGCCATGCAAGGGCGAATGTTGGTCTGACTCAACTACTTGTGACCTCAAAGTCGCGTGGCTTGCCTCTGAATGTGCACGTAGTGCTGAGCGGATGTTGATGTTGCAAAGGCTGGGCGCACAGCCGGGGGCTCAGTGGAGTTCGACATGGTGCCCGGGCTTGGCAACGTTGCTAGCGTAAGCAGTCGTAGCTTTTTGTTTATCTGCATCCGATCTGTGATCAGTTGGGGCAGATGCTGCAGATTCCTGAGAGATCGAAAGTTGCAACAGCCAGCCGCTCGTGCCGCCCAGGAGATATAACTGGCACGCACAGACGCGATGCATCACCCTTGCAGTGGCTCTTTGCACGTTTGTCGACAGCCAGCTCCGGAAGGGGCCGTGATCCCAATCTCTTTGGGCCATGTGAACTGATCTTAAGTCACAAATCACAGAGCTGGCGGAAAGCGAGCCTGCAGCAAAGAGGCCCCGAAGCCGAACGCTGCCAGGTTGTTGCAAGCGGCTGCCAGCCGGGGCACTCGATTGTCCAACCTCTTCATCTCGGTTCAGGCCTGACATACACATCACGCTGTAGTAGTTTGGTCCGACTTTTCTGTTTTGTACCCGAGAGTGATGTCATGAGCAACCACTTCTTGACTTCGAAGTGTCATGGGCATGGGCATATCAGCGAGGAGTCAGGCTATGTCAGGCTTCTCCTTTGATGCGCTTGCAGGTATCACCATACCTCCTCACACCGCCGCCACCTCAGCTGCGGTTTATGCGCCGGAGTAGTGTAGTATGGGCCAAGCTGTTGTTACAGCCACAGAATCCTGTGCAGGACGCCCTACTGCGGTGCCACTCTCACCCTGTATGCTGGAGCCTTGTGGAAAGCGTGCGCCTGAGGTGCTTGAACACCTGAATGCTTGAGGACCCCAGCCACTGTTTGGTGGAGCGCAAATGGGCTGGCTACTTCTTTCACCTGAAGCTTGGCAGCATGGTTAAGTCAAAGTCTGCAAATGTGTTGTGTAAAACCCTAATTATTCTCTACCGGAATGACATTCCTTCAGGAACCCGATGCCACCCTTCAACGTCTCCGTGGTCGCGGCCTTGGTTGGTTTGGGGTGCTTCGGACCACTTGCTGCCCGCCACCACAGCGGCTCTCATATCAGCAACCATGACCGCCACCATCATGACGACATCGGCCATCGCTGCCGCTACCACCGCCAACAAGCTACCACTGCCTCTGCCACCATCACCGGTGTCACCACCAACACTGCCACCGCCAGCTTCACCAACGCGCTTCTGGCGTCACGATTCTGAGCCCAGCCCGCATCGTTATGGCCTCTGAACCCTTGCCCCTAGGCCCTGGACATTAATCATATCGCTGTCCTCAAGCACCAAGCTCTACAATGCAAAGCCAAAGTTAATCCCCAGTCCTTCAAGCAACAGAGCGAAGACAAAGCTCAGAGCCCTAATTCCTGGGACCCTTCTGATACATCACTGGTGATGAAATCAGCACTGATGGGCACGGGCTTGGCCGCAAGCGCAACCATGCGTAGCCACAGCAGATGCAGTCTCGAGCACACCTGGGGCACCAGTAGTTGCTGAGATTTTGATTTGTACCGAACTGTCTGTATTTACATGAAACATCCACATCTAAGCTCGCCCCATTGGCATCAGCTGCGATACTGTGTTGGTGATATCTGGACCCATACCTTCTTCGAGGAACCGAGCCCAGACCTCAAGCTGCAAAGGGATCAGTACTGTTTTTGTGACAGCTGCTTAGCCTTTATAAACCCTACAGGGCTCCGCAGGGCAACTAGAGCTCGAAGGAACCCACAAGCTGAGTAGGACTTGTAGTTTCCAGGCGGCCAGCCTTGGAAAAGAGCCTTCAACATCTGAGATCGAAATTCCGACCATCGCAAAGGCCTGACTTATCTGATCGACCCATCCTTTCCCACTTCGAAGGTCTACGTAGGGCGGCCGCTGGGGCCGGGTTCCGACCTTCCCAGCTTCGAAGTCCACCATATACCACTGCCAGGGGCCGATTTGTGGTTTTGATTCGAGGTGTGGCGTGTCAGCTTTGGGGTGGTTTCTTCGAGACTATCTGGATTTGGAGTTGTTTCTGCCTGATTCGTGGGGTGATGATGAGGCTTTCAGACTGAATTTCCTTCAATGGCTTCGACAGAGACAGTGACCACAGTGGTGCCTTGCCACAGCGGTGATGATGCCAGTGTCTGCGGCAGAGACACCTTGATGGTGATGCTGGTGACGAGTTTGATGAAGATAATGAAGATAATAGCATGGTGAGTCATGCTGGTTGTAGGATCACGAGGTAATGTTGCTGATGAGTACGACGGTGGTGATGAACATGTTGATGACCTTAGTTGGAAGGATGGTGGGGTGGCAAAGGCAGCAGCGATCCTGCTGACGATGTTGAAAGACCACGAAGATTAATTACACCGCTGGCGGCGACCGCTGTTGCTGCTGCTGCTGCTGCTGCTGCTGCTGCTGCTGCTGAGGATGATGATGATGATGATGATGATCATGATGATGATGATCATGATGATGACGTTCATGATGATGATGATCATGATGATGATGATGATCATGATGATGATGATGGTGATGGTGATGGTGATGGTGGTGTTCATGTTGACGGTGTTCTTGCTGCTGGTAATGATGGTGGTGATGATGATGATGGTGGTGTTGCTGTTGTTGCTGTTGTTGTTGGTAGTAGTGACGACGTTGGTGATGACTACGAAAACGATGATGATGATGATGATGATGGTGATGACAATGATAATGGTGGCAATGATTGCGATGACGCTGACGATGATGACGATGACGAAGACGATGATGATATCGAGGATGAGGATGGTGGTGCTTGCGGTGACGATGACGATGATGGTGGCAATGATTGCGACAATGATCGCGACGACGATGATGATGATGATGATGATGATGATGGTGATGACGAGAACGGCGATGACGCTGATGTTTCTCATCGTGCGCCGTTGAGGCCATCCATGGACACTCAGTGGAACAGCCTTGTGCCATTCTCGGTCAGCAGCGGGCAGTCGTACATGTAAAGGTGGTACTGTCTAGGCATGCTGGCTTTGTTTACCGCCGTTCTACTTGCAACCAGCCTGCTCGATTGCTGTTGCCGAAGCTGCTCTGACGAATTCAGGAAGGAAAAAGGTGCAGCCAGTGGGTTAACAACGCCTTTCTATCTTGGATACGTAGCCAGATAGCTTAGCTATCCTAGCTGGAGACATGGACGATGCAGATGTTCCATCCCTAACGCTGGAGACCAAGATTCTGCTTCAGAAATTGAAAATATGGGACAAGATTGCTGCAGGAAATTTACACAGCATCACCCTTACAGACGTGCAGGCCGTGTTCGACATTTTGGATCCTGGTGAGAAGGGCTATATAACTCGGAGCGAATGCTTCGCTCTAACACAAGTGCAAAACGTGAAGGTGTCGCAGCAGTACTTGCAAGATCTATGCGAGGACGCAGACAAGGACAACAGCGGCACAGTGTCTGCCGACGAGTTCTTAAAAGCGCTCACTACAGGTCAAGTGGCATTCAACTTCCTGAAAGAGTCCTTGGGCAAGGGACCCAAAGAAATGAAGCAAAATGAATGTGATCGATCGGACCTCTTGGCTTGGTTGAAGGAGGAGTATGAGACAATGAGCGCGTTGTACTCGATGCCAACAGTCTTTTTCCTGCTCTTCTCGTACATCTATTTCATCACCACGCACGTTGACACAACCAGTGCCTGGAGGACTGGTAATACACTCTATAACAACCTAGACACGCTGTGGAAAATCACCAAAGTCGCCAACACAGCCGGCGCCAAAACTCACATGGAATGGACCTCCACTCATTGGCTGCCAAAGTACTTTCGGCAAGATCTTGTTTCGGATCCTTTCCCAGGTAGGGTTGCGGTTTACAATCAAATCATCGGCGGCCCAAGGCTCCACAAGGAGTTCTTGCAGGAAGGCCCGTGTCTTGCCAGCGAGCAGAACGCCTTTCTCTACAACTCCCTAACTGGAACTTGCGATCGGCATGGCGTCAAAACAGACGAAGACATTGTGCTGCCATATCACTTGGCCATTGGACTTCATCAAAACACCATCCGGAATCTTACGGAGACTTTCTGGTTTGACTACAAGACGGAGCTCTTGGAATATCAAACTCTTTTCTACAATGCCCACCAAAACTTGGTCACCTTTGAGCGACTCCAGTGGAATGCGCAGACCGACGGATACATTCAGCTGTATTTTCGTTTCGAGTCGTGGCTTGCCGAGCCTTACAAGGATCCATGGGCTGCGATTCCCGATGTTCTCTTCGTCGTGCTTCTGCTTCGGATTGCTCATGTCGAGGCCAAAGAGCTGCTCCCTGCAATCGCAGGAGGCATTGATGGGATTCGCGACTACCTCGGGTTCTGGAACGTGGTGGACTGGATGGCGATCTTGCTAGGCCTCTTCAATGTCGGCATGTGGTTCTATGTCCTGGTTCAGATGTCTGTGAGACTGCCAGCGGCCATTGCCCGAATTCCGCAAGACGCTCTAGATGAGAGAGTGTTGCGAAACACCACCTATCTCGGAATAGAAGAGCTTTCAGAGGTTGTTGATCCTTCCGATCTCAACCTCAACATCAACCAAATGTTCGTCATTGCCAGAGAGGTGTATGACTGGCACTTGCTGTTGAGAGCATGCTTGTTCGGGTACTTCTTTATTCTGATTTTGAAGGTCTTCAAGTCCTTCCAAGCGAATCCTCGGTTGGATGTTGTCGTGCAAACTATTGTGCACTGCTCTGTGAATGTAGCGCACTTTGCGATCGTCTTCTTTGCAATCTTCTGCAGCTATGCCTTTGCAGGACATTTTCTCTTGGGACACAAGATCCGTGGATGGAGCACGATGCTGGGTTCGCTTTTCAATTGCTGGAGTTCCAGCCTAAACGCCGACATGGTGCAGGATTTCTCCATTCCAGTTCAGGTCGTGTGCTTTGTGTGGACGCTTACCTACCAGGTCCTGGTGCAGCAGGTCATGCTAAATATGCTGTACTGCATTGTTTTCGATTCTTACTACTCCATCAAGGGTGCTGCAGGAAAGCCACTGACCTTGTACCAGCAAATACAGGGTGCGATTGCCACTGCACGTGAAACCCGCGGATTTGTTGAGATGTGGATCTTGATTGTGCAAATGGAAGATGACGACTTTCCAGCACATCCAGCAGAAGTTGTCACTGTCAGATCATTGAAGCGTGCTTTCGAAAGATACGGCATGTCGCGTGTCAATGCCGAGTATTTGGTGAAGCAGGCCGCTGAGTACGTGAAGGAGCAGACGAAGCAAGTGGACATCACTTTGTCAGATGCCATCAGAGTGACGGGACACATCCAGAACACGATGCTCAAGAACTTGGACTTGGCGGAGGATTCTTTGGAAATGATCAAAACGGAAGCACGCAACAAGGAGGCGGCCGAGAAGCAAAAGCAGCGATCTGCTTTCGTATCTAACAACATGAGTGAGATGCCAGGTGTTGATGTAAAGCAAGGCGTGGCCATGTCGGAGAGCCAGTGGAGGGTGTCAGACGAAGTCTGTGACTCCGTCGAAGTTACTCTTCAAAACATCTCCAGCATGCTTGATGCAAGTCGCCAGGACCAGACGGATCTAGCTGGAGATGTGAACACTGGTTTGCAGCAGATTTGGCGAGAAGAGGACAAGAGATACAAGGACTTAGATATCTTGTTGCACGACCTGGAGAATGGCCTTCAAGCAGTCGAGCGGAGCATCGGAACCATGGGCGTATCCTTCAGTGGAACCAACTTTCAGCAGCTCGCTTCGGTGCCAGAACGACTGGATGATCCAGAGCTAATGCAACTGTTGTGCTCAGGAGAGGAGAAGGGGGGTGCTTGTGTGGCACGCTTGGACAGGAAGCTGAGCGATCTGAAGCAGCAGATGCATGATCTAAGCGGCAAGGCCAGCGACACGGCTGAGCTGCAACAACTTTTCTGGAAACTAGAGGTCCAGCTGCGCAAGCTGAATGATGGCAAGGGTGTAATCCCCATGGAGTGCTTCATCCGGGAGCAGCCGAAGAATGAGGGTCGTCGCAATAACAATACCCGGCCTGATTCCAGAGAAGAGGAGGATTGAAATCTAGACTGAAGGATGTGTTCATCAAGGCCTCAAAGGTCAAGGTCAGTATTTTCGAGTTCGATAATGTCCCTGCAGCACTGCCCAGTGCTCCCCAGCGCGGAGAGAAGATCTCACCCGAATCAGGCCAGCCGTGGAACCTCGTGCTGCCCGTTTCACCCCTCCAGTGCCCGATTGCGTCTCAGCGAGAGGTTGCAAAACGTTCCCTCGTCACGGCAAGCTTTACATAGTTGTCCGGCAGCATCTTTTCAGCTAAACCAAGCAGTAGTAATATCAATAATTAGCCAAGTAGCAATCGCGTGCAGGCGGATAGATCAGACGTGGAGTTTTGTGCTTGTCCATATACATGGCGGCATGTATTAAAAGCAGATACCTCCTTACCCGCATATCTCTCCGCTCTTCTTCTCCTCATGCCTTTACCTTCGCTGGAGTTTGGTGCACATATCATTAATTCTAAGCATGCAAACAGGCGGACAGACCGACAATCGCATAGATGCTCAAGTAGATAGCTGCAGATAGCTTTACACAAGTGGAGATGTGGAGTCAGCCATTTGTGTTTGCAGCATGTGCCTGTGTAAACCGCCTGGCTCTCGACCTGCCTGTGTGTCTACTGATGTAGTCGTGGTATGTCGTGGTGTTGTCTGTGAGTGGTTAAGTCCGCATGTACGCGTGTGTGCATGTATGCTGTAGACAGGCCGGTTTGTCCGTCCGTCTGTCCATCCGCTATCTGTATCTTTGTATGTGGTTTGTATGCGTAGATATGTACGTACATAGATAGGGGTGTATGCATGGCGTATGTATGTATGTATGTATGTATGTATGTATGTATGCATGCATGTATGTATGTATGTATGTATGTAGGTATGTACGTAGGTATGCATGCGTGCGTGTGTGTGTGTGTGTGAGAGAGAGAGAGTACCTGTTTGTGCATATATTCGTCCAAGTATTGTATGTCTGTCGGTGTGTGTATGCTTATGAGTATGTAGCAAGGGATGTGTTCCAGGTATATTCGCAAGAACTGGGATCTTCTTAGGTAGGCAGACAGGCACAGACTGTCTGTGTCCATGTATATATGGTGGTGTGCATACAGGCTGCCACAAACGCACACAAGCAGACGGAGCTTGTCAGCTAACTTCGTCTTGCTTCCCATCGCAACGTAATGTTTTATTTACGCATATGTGTACTGGCCTGCGCACTACGAATACTGTATACTGCCCTGGTCGGTGGGTGATGTGCTATAGCCTAAACCCTCCACCCCAAGCCCCTGACGTGCACGCGACGGAGCCTTGAGTTATTCCGCAGCATCGGCCCGTGAGAGGAAGCGGCCCGTAAGACTTGACAAGCAATGACTCGGTCAGAAGTCGCAGTACCACCGTGAAGAGCTGCGTACATTCAGGTCCAGGTCAGGATGTAGAAGTTTCAAATGGTTTGTCTGTTGTTGCGACACAAGCGTCTGCTGTTTTCTGTACGTTTTAATCCTGCTTCAACAACAGCAACTCTGCAATGCCCCTTCGCAACTTTTGCTTCAGTGTCAGTAGACTATAAGTTCAAGATTTACAACACCAATCCTTAGGCGTTTCTTTAGCTCAAGCCCTTCACCACTCAAGCCTGAAACCCTAAACCCTCACCTAATTCCTGAAAAAACCCAGGATTTGGGTTTTCGGATGCTAGCCCCAAAGAGGCGCCATGCCGTAGCTCAGATGCTCGGAGATCTTTGAGTGAGATTCCTTTATACGGTTTGGGGTTCTGGGTTTGGGGCCGTTTAGGGTTTAGGGCGGTCGTGTGTAACAAGAGGAATGCCCTGAACCCAGCGAGGAAATGGGTGGCCAGGGCTAGCGAGAGATGAGAGTACGCCACCTTCAGTCGCACCTCCACGACGCTTGGCTTGTTTCGAATCGTTATACTTGGAGTTCTGGTTCGAGGATCGTGCGTTCACAGACCACAGCTGAAGTACTCGAAACTGTTGGGTATTCTCATGCCTCAGATCTCAGACTCTGAGTATTGTGAGAAACGGTCAGCCATGTAGATTCTGAGGAAGAGAAGCTTATCTTCCAAAGCAGCCTCGAGGCGGGGAGCCTTTGATAAGCAAAGGGATATATATTATATTATATTATATT